TACGAGGAGGAGGGCTACGTGGGAGATCAAGGCTATCGGGAAGGGGGGGTGCATTCCAGGAGTGGGGGAGGCAAGAGGCAACACAGTCCGCAGGGGGAGCGTGAGAAGAGATTCAGGATAGCCACTCCCTACAATCTCCCAGGGTATATCCACTAGTTGTTGTAGTTTAGTTCTAGTCTGGCAAAATTCTGCCTATAAGGTGTAAGTAAATAAAGGAACTGTGCTAGATTGGACCGTTTCATCATTGTCCTTGGGCTGGGCCTGACACCTGTCTACAGAAGCTCCCTGGGGGGACCTTGGCCCAGTTATGCTCTTGTGGGAAATGTGGAGAGTGAAATATAAGACTTAGAACCACCATTTGCATGAAATTGTGAATCCCCCCCCCCCTCACACACACCCTAACTTCTTCTCATAACAAAGGCAGAAAAACATGCCTTAGAAATGACAGTGACCTTATCAGCATTTTTCCTCATCAGGAAAGAATGAATGGAGGTATTACACAAATGTTTACAGGAATTGCCAGGCACCACCTTGTTACAAAACCGTGGAGATTTTCCTCTCTCAACTGTGCTGTGAAACATGATCCCTCGCTTGCCAAAATTCCCTCCTACCAAAAAATCTTACAAGCACTGCCTGGCCTCACCTTCCCATTGCAAACGGTGAAGCAACATCAGAGTTCCTTAACGTCTCGGGCTGCTGGCTGAGAAAAATAAGCCCTGATCTGCTCACAGGTGTTGTGTCACCCATGAGTCAAGCACCACCACCCACAATGGCATCATGAGATGATGTCGCTCTTTCGGTATCGGTGCACACAAGCAACCGAGCAGATACAATTTGTGCTGTGCAGAGGAATTCTCCCACAGTTCCTTCTTCCCCAAAAATTATTTAGAAGAGAATTGCAGAGAAATTCTCATGCAGAGAGAGTGTAGCTTTCTTGCATCCACTTGAGGCCAAGATGATCATCATCATCACCACCACCACCATTATTATTATTTAAACTTGTATACCGTCCAACTGCCAACGACTCTCTACATGTGAATGTCTGGTTCTTCATCACCCAATTTTCTCTCCAGCCTCCCCTGGTTTCACGCTGCTAATAAATCCCAAGGGAATTTAATTGCTCCCACTACTCTCTCAGCTGGGTCAGAAATACGGGAAGGAAAACTTCAGAGCAATGGAAAGATTTGCATCAGGAAAGAGTGTCAACACGAGCTCCTTCCTTTGCCTCCAGGATAAAATACGCTTGTAAACATCTTGGAAAGAATCTTAGAAGAAATTCTCCAAAAATGCTCCAGAGAACCAGGAAGAATGGCAGGAACTTCTTTTGTAGGAGAATCAAACATCAAGGGAACTATAGCAGAATGTGCAATACAGATAACACACTAAACCAGTGTTTCTCAACCTTAGCCATTGTAAGATATGTGGACTTCAACTCCCAGAATTCCTCAGCCCGCATGCTGGCTG